TAGAGATTTAAGTTTTTTCAAAACTATCTTATATTCCCCTTTGCTACTGCTTTTTTGCTATCACCTCTACATTATGGCTCAAAAGTATCAACAATTTTTTCAACAAAAAAATTTTACATTCATATCAGCAATTTCTGATCCTTACCTTAGCCCACTTAACCATATGGATTTAAAAAAAAAAAAAAAAAAAAAACAACTTTGATCAAAACAATTCATCAAATATGTTACGAGCAGATGCATAAGAAACAAAGATTTTTTAAAAAAGTAATATGATCAAAAAAAACTAATAACACATCTGTTTGCTATTGCTTGAAAAGCAAAAACATTAGCAACAGCAATATACCGATGAATTTAAAACTTTGTCGACAGCATTCTTTATTTTCATATTTACAACTGCCGATGAATGTCGGTATCCGTGTCGGTATTGATCAGAAAACAAAGCCTGTCGTAAACTTATCAACCCCACCATTAGACAGTAAATAACCGCTGAACAAACTTTTACCACATATTTGTTGCTTACACTTCTATTATAACGCCTAAATTTAGACTTTTCAATCAGTACTCTTTTCATCAATCGTAGCTTCAGTTTTTTTTTTTTTTTTATTGTTCCTTTTTATGTTCACTTTATCAAAAATCGCATATTGACAGTATTTTTAAGTGCATTTAATTATTAAAACAACCAAGTAGTGATGCTTAGACTCCACAGTATATGTATTTTAGTCAAAGCTGTAATTGTATAATTTTTACGCTTTTATAATTGAAAATCTGAAGGATATCCATTAACAAAAATTATTTGACAAAAGAATCAAAGAACAACGCAACTGAGATCTATCAGTACCAAATTTGCGCTGTCCTTTAGTTCATTTGCCAATTTTGTGTGCAAAAATCTAGTGTAATACACTTAAATTTCCTGTCATACGCGAATTATTTATTGTTCAACCTGTACAAATGTAGAAAAAAAAAATGAGTAAAAAAAGTAAAGTTTGATTTTGCTCACAGTTCCAAATTTGAATTTCTAAAACATACAACAAACATAAAGCAATGGTACTAGCATACAGTTACTGGCTTTATCTCACATTTAATCAAGGGTAACGTTGATGAAAATCATAAGACAATTCACGGTTTATTTACAGTATGAGAAAAAATGAAGGCTATAAAGTAGTCTGTAAGAAAACAATAAATTTTTTGTTTCATTTCTACTAAATTAATTAAGTGTAAACGAACTAAAAGTGAAACAAAAAATACTTAGAGGGTTTATTTGTGCAATAAAATCTTTCGCAGAAATAGATCTTCTAGACCTGTAGTAAGCGATTACAGAAGTATGTAAATTTTTTATCCGTTGTGAAACAAGATCATGACTCAAAAGTGCTACGCCACTCTTCTGCAGTCTATCAAACAACTCAAAACCGGTTCAGTTGTGAAATGTTATAAATAATGTGATGCCAAGGTAAATATAAAATTGGTTACGACATAAACAACAATAAATGCCAAATTCCATCCTGACGCCGTGTTGGATGAAAATGAATTTGTTAATGGATGATCAGCTTCTTCTATGATACCTAAATTAGTTGAAATTATGTGTAAGCTGCAAATTAACATATTTTGGAAGACAAGTTACCAAATAAAAAGACGGCACGCTTTAACAGAAATATACATTGAACGGGTAACATATAGTAATAGGTGAAGCCTCTAAGTAAGCAAAAAGAGATATCATTTTTGCTAACCACCATCAAGAGGATATGCTACGCTCTTGAAACAACTCTCCTACACTACGAATTAAGACTATTAATTACAGAATCAACAAAAAAATACTCTTTAGCCACTACCAATTCTGACGTAGACTATTTGTTCATGCAAACGATCAGTTTTAAGTCCGTCTTACTGCAGCGGATACTAGAAAAGAAGTTATATTTTACGTCTTTCCCTACCTCATAAATATTGAGAAGCACTAGAACTTAATTTTTTAATTGAATTTTTTATGCGATAAATTTGTGCACGCAACAGGAGACTTCAAAACAGTAACCAGTCTTTACTGGTCTTTAGAACAGCTTTGAATAAAAAGCCAGTTGATGAACTATAGACTGAACGAATACACAAACATTTGAAGCGCACAATGCATTACCCCTACAAATGATACCTTAATTAGCTATACCAATAAGTCCGCAAGCAATTCGCGCTCCAGCATCTCCAGTGGTTCTACTTGCTTCCGAATTCCCTTTACCAAGATCATCAGCTCTTTCATGAATAACAAGTGAACGGCCAATGATTGAAAATGGACCATGCAAGGCGACCATTTGATCTTCCATTGAGATATCTATGTTCCCTGACTCCTACAATTTTTTAATTTTCAAAAAATCATTAAATTAACTATTACTTTATATATATATATATATATATATATATATATATA